TGCCTATAGTAATATATATATTTTTTTATATAGTTGGAGGTGCCTTAGTTACTGTATTAGCTCACCTGTAATCTACTTTATATGTATGTTTGTGTTCTGTCTGAACCTCTGGCGCTGTGTTTGCTCACCCGTAAGTTACTTTATGTTTTTTATGTATATCTGTGTTCTGTCTGAACCTCTGGCGCGGTGTTGACTCACCCGTAAGTTTATTTATGTTTGTTTATGTTCTGTTTATTCTCTGATGCAGCCTGAGCTCAGTAACTAGCTACTTACTCCAACTACAAGACCTACACTAACGTTAAACTCCTGTATTTTGTTAGATGCAGTGTTTTTCCTAATGCACTTCCAAAATGTCATGCCTGGTTTTCTCAAAGAACTGTTGCAGGAAGTAACTCCTTTCAACTACTCCAGGTCAGGTCAGGATAATCAAGATCAATCTTACTACTGGTATCATGTAACCCAGTACCACCTGCCACAAGCCCTGTTGCCTTGCAGAGTGTGCTCTTCTTAGTCAAAGGCTAGGAGAAATAAACTTCGACAAAAAATTCCCCTGCCTTAGGGCTCTTGGTTGAGTAAAGGCTAGAGATGGTGTCTCGATAAAAACACTCATCTTGGGTAGATGTTAACTGCATCCAGCTAAACATCCCCTTCCTTGGGGCTCTTGGTTGAGTAAAGACTAGAGATGGTGTCTCGATAAAAATACTCATCTTGGGCAGATGTTAACTGCATCCAGCTACTGTCTTGTAGAAGCCTCCTAGGTTCGAGGCTGGTTAGCAGAAAAATTCTGCTAACCAGCCTCGAACCCCTTCTTCGTCTATTAGGCTGGTGTAGATGTAACCTGTGTTACATTGTTTCCTGCCTAGGATGATGAATGCTGGATCTCCTTGACTCTACTCATAGAATTTTGCTTATGCCTCCTTGATAATGGCTATGCAACTCTTCCTGTTATCTCCATATGAGGGTACAGCTCTAGAACTCAGTTTAATGGTTCTGAGGCCAGCTGGTAGTAAGGTTTCCCGAACTCTGTGGTTGCTCTCAGAGAGGCTAATTCCATCAACAGCTGCAAAATATCAGAGTATTAACAGTGCCATGTTGCGCATTGATGGTGTCCCTGTTAATGCTTTTGGTGTGCATTGTCAAGGCCACATAAGGAGCCCTATGTCACGGCTTAGGGTTAATTAACAGGACTGAGACAACTGCATAGCTCATTGATTAGGAGGCTGCGCTCTATCTATGAATGAGTCAAGTTATCATTAAACCCAAATCATGACCAAAGTAACCAAAAATTTTAAACCTATAAAACCATCCCCACCACCTAAATGTTTTAATATATCTTTTACAAATATTTGCGGTCTGCGAAGCAACTTTCCGTCAGTTGAGTCTTACCTCCTGCAAAATTCACCAGACTTGCTTGCACTCACTGAAACAAATTTAAATTCTGCAATTCCTTCTTCAGATGTCAGTGTTGATGGGTACTATCCTTTGATTCGTAAAGACTCCAATAGTCACATGCTAGGTTTAGGGGTATACATACGCATTAATTCCCCTATTTGTTGTGAAATCAGGTTCGAATCCTGTGACCATTCTTTGATCAAATTGACCATGCCCTCTCTCTTTACCCCTCTGCCAATATTGTTGTTGTTGGTGATTTTAATGCCCATCACACTGAATGGCTTGGCTCTAACACCACTGATCCTGCTGGCACTTAAAGTCTTTAACTTCTGCGTTTCTCAATCTCTTACTCAGATAGTTAACTTTGTGACTCGTTTTCCTGACAACCCTAATCATTTACCTTCACTCCTTGACTTATGTCTTGTCTCTGACCCTAGCTGATAAATGCGCCTCCTACGTATCTTCCTGGATTCAGGCTGGAGTGGAAGCTTTTATTTCTTCTCGTCGGTTTCAAGTCAAGCCTCATTCTACTCCATGGTTTTCTCCTTCTTGTGCGACTGCTATATCCAATTGTAATCATTTTTTTCATCTTTTTCAAAAGAACAACTCTCTTGAGAACAAATGGCTATTTATTATTGCAAAAATCGATGTAAAAAGGTGCTTTCTAATGCTAAACTCCATTATTCTCAGTTCACTAAATCTCGCATCTTATCACAGAAATTAGGCTCTAAAGACTTTTGGAAAATCTTCAACAGCATTATTAACAAAGGTAGATCTAACATTCCATCTCTCATTCATGGGACTGATCTTTTTACCTCTCCCAAGGATAAGGCAGAACTATTTCTTCTAATTCCATTCTTGAATCTTATGGACATTCTCTTCCTTCCATTCCAGTCAAACAGGTTGACCCATTGTTAGACATTCAAATCGCTTCGGCTTCTGTTGCTAAAGTCATATCTCAATTAAACTCGTCTACAGCTTGTGGTCCAGACAACATTCCTGTCACAGTCTTGCAGAATTGTTCTCCAGAACTTTCTTCAATTCTCTCTAAACTATTTAACAAGTGTTTGACTGAGTCTTGTTTTCCTGCTTGTTGGAAAATGGCATCTGTGGTTCCAATATTCAAAAACTCTGGACAAAATTCTGACCCCTCCAATTATCGTCTGATCAGTCTTCTTTCTGTTATTAGCAAGGTCTTTGAGTCTTTGATCAACATCACATCTCATCTTGAGTCAAATAAACTGCTGTCAGACAATCAATACGGTTTTCGATCCTCTCGCTCTATGGCTGACTTGCTAACTGCTGTAACTGAAAGATTTTATCGTGCATTAGATGGAGGCGGTGAGGCTAGGGCTATTGCTCTCAACATATCTAAAGCTTTCAACAAAGTTTGGCATGCTGGTTTTCTCCATAAGCTTGCTTCATATAGTGTTTCTGGGAAAGTTTTTGAGATTATCAAAAACTTTCCCAGAAACACCATATGAAGCAAGGATGCAGTTTTTTTAAAAGATCATGAACTCTGTTTTGAACACCTGATAAAAGCCTAGCTCTAAATTATAAAAAAATTGAAAGATTAAAGCAAAATAATGTAGTAAGTAGTAAGTAATGGAGTAAAGAGAAGCATAACAGTCAAGTTAAGGAAGAGGGCATACAATGTATAATGTTTGATGGTCCAAAGGACCTTACAAAAACAGTTGTATATGGTAAGAATGGTAAATTTAACCCAAGAGAGATCAAAGAAGATCATTATAGTGTCTGTAGTGTCTGAGCCTGGTAGAAAATATTTATTCCACTTTATAAATAATTCAGAGGAAAGAGCTGGTTGAACACCTGCTGAATATATTGCTGAACAACTGTATGATTGGATAATATCACATGGTATTGAGAACCAATTAGTTGCAATTGGTAGAGATTCAACCAACCTTAACACAGTTTTTATCTTAATTTCTTTTAATGGTAGTTTAAACTTCTTATATTATTTTCTACAGATCAGAAATATTTATACAGAATATATAATGCAATAGCATCAGGTGTTTTCTTTGACGATTTAAAGGAAATTTAAATTGGCCCACACAATCATTCAAGATGCTTGAATCTTGCAAAAAAACTGCTTCAAATCTGCTGCAACATGGTTAAGAAAACAAAGATCTAAAAAACTTGAAATTGTTAGCAGAGTTCATCATGGGTGTTTGTTCAGTTATGTGGTTTGACATTAGGGTGATAAACTTAGTAAGATAGAAGCAATAATTTACTTAAATACTATAATTTACTTTAATAATTGTAATACAATTGTAATTATGCTAAAGAAAAGTAATCAATTTTAGACTAAACATAGCTGGATTTAGAGTCCACGTCATATCCTTAAGCAACTAACCTTGGTAAAAAAACAGAACAAGCTTGTGGAGGATATTGTATTATCACATATCTGATCCTCTGCCTGGAATGCACACAGTAAATAAATTCTTCAGACAATGTTCTGTTGTTTAGATAAAGGAGAAAGGATACTATCCTTGCAGAAAAAAATTGATGTAGGAAAAAATAAGAACATCAGAGACAGAAAATGCAGAAATAGAAAAATACCAGCAATAAACACTGAATCAAATAGTCTAATAGATTTAATCAATTGGGAAACAGAGGAGATCAGTGAATTATATCAGAGATATAATCAGTTAACCAGTTATTACACGTTTTTTGATGAAAGATGATGTTATATATTTTATTAATAGTTTAAAGATTGTACCAAACTTTCCTATTCATGGTCAATCTATTGAACACATTGTGAAAGAGGTCGGCAGGGCTTCAATGTTAGTGTATGGGGCTGAGAAAAGAGATGTTTCATAAGGTTCATAAGGCTCATAGAGAGTTGATGCCTGTGTGCCAATGAAATAAAAAGATCTGATGAAAATTTTGCATTCAGTATTTTAAGTTTATAATATGAGTAAACAATTTATTTTAAAGAGATATGCTGAAAATGCTGTTATCAATATTTTAATGTTCTATTACATGTAATAATATACCATAAAATTGTAATTTAAAATGTAACTTTAATATGTTATTGATCTAACTAGGTTAACTAAAGCTAAGGAAACTGTTTAGACTATTTTGTTGAGTAGTAGCAAAGCATTTTGCATGACTTTGCGTAAACGATATATTTATAAAATTACCTGATTAACATTAAGCGCAAAAAAAAAAAGAAATCAGTTCTCATTATCATTTGCTTAAAGACATAAGATAATTGCCGAACCTAAATTCAAAACTTTTTCAAAAGTGACCCACCCTAGTACGTATATATGTATGTATGTATGTATGTATGTATGTATGTATGTATGTATGTATGTATGTATGTATGTATGTATGTATGTATGTATGTATGTATGTATGTATGTATGTATGTATGTATGTATGTATGAATGCATTTATGCATTCATTCAAGCATTCATACATGCATGCATGCATGCATGCATGCATACATACATACATACATACATACATACATTACATACATACATACATACATACATACATACATACATTACATACATACATACATACATACATACATACATACATATATGCATGTTTGATGAATTTTAAAATATTTTATTTAGATCCTTTCTTTTTCATATCCACGACTGTTGTTGATCAAGTTGGAGATTTAAACATTGATCAATATCAATTTGATCAACTGGTTGGTAGTACATTTGAGGCAACAGTAGGTTTCATGGCTATCGATGATTTTACACTCAAAATAAATAATCCAACCACTTGCCCCTTAGAAAGGTTTTTTTGAATTTAATATTTTTATTCTGTATTTAATAGTTTCCAAAGTTGTAACTTTTTCTAATTTCATTAATTCATTAATGTTGGCTCTAATAAATCTTTGATTTTTTCTAAAAATATTTTTTTAATGTAATAAAATACAACTTTGACCTTTTTTTAAATTTTACTTAAATAAAATACTTAAAATAAGACAAATGAATAAAATTAAGATAAGAAATATAACAATAAAATATAAGATATGTAATAAGAAAAAAGTCTTACTAAGCAGCAGGACATGTGGCAGGGTTGGTACATGTGGTACTGGATTAAATGTTATCAATAGTAGAGTAATCATGATGATTATAATGGAAAAAATTAAAACTGAAATTAAACTGAAATTTCTAAAAGATTTGAGAAAAAAAAAGATGAACTATATTTTTTGATCATGAAGGAACATTTACAATTAAAAAAAAACAACATTTTTTTGCAGCAAAAGATGCAACCTTATGACAATGCGACAGAGGCTCAAGCTCAGCAGCACCAGGTCTAAATCTTACTACATTTAAAATGTGTTTTGGACCTTGTCTTAAAGAGAAAGAACATCATTAGAAAAATCAGTTTAAGTATGAAAACAGTGTTTCATATAAGAACAGATAAGCAATTTATTGAGGTAAAGAATGGAATTAGGAGTAAGGAAATGGTGAGCACAATAAACAAAGTTCGCACATACTAACTTTGCGATATATTCTATATATGGTTTCCATAGAGTTCAGTATTGAAAGACAATCCATGAAATATTGCCACTTTTTTATATAAAAGTACCAACAATCCTGTAATAATTATTATCAGTAAACAACTGAATTTTGTTTGGCTCAAATTTTACTATTCACTAGAAGTCCTAAGCTGTCAAAGAAGAGAAATCATATTAATGATTATGTTAGCAAGATTTATGTTATATAAAACAATATAGTTAAGAAATAGCATGGGACCAAAAATGTTGTAATATTCCAGAGGTTTGGAAATGAAGTTCATTAATGAGGATTTTAATACTACGTTTTTAATACTACTAGAAAGAAATAATTCAATATTTTAAAAATTTTCCCCCGACACCATATGAAAATAGCTTATGAAAAAGACCAGCATGCTAAACTTAATTGAAAGCCTTCAATTAAGTTTAGTTAGCCTTTACCCTTCCCAGCCAACCAATAAGAATGGGTCCCATAAGGGACCCATACGGGCGTACATAAGGGACCCTTACGGGTATCCCTAAGGGATCCCAGCGGGAGTTGTCCCGGGGTCCCATCTGGGAACCACAAGGGTTGCCCCCTGGGATGCCCATAAGGGTCCCATATATTTACCGTTTTTTTTCCCTTATGGTTCCCATATAGGCTATCTGGTATTATACACGTTTGCGTTCTGGGATGCCCATAAGGGTCCCATATATGATATTTCACAGGGATGCCCATGACGGTCTCGTAAGTTTTCTAGTTTATTTTTCTCTACAAACGGATGTAAGTAAATTGCTTATATTAAAAATGTTAATTACGCAATTTAGCAGGATATTTGAAAGACTTTATAAAAAAAGGAATTTTTACATAAAAAACTACCAATTTTGGTGAATTTTGTTCTTTATTTAAAAAATTGAGTAAACAAAACAATTCTTGAAAGACGTTAAATGTTTTTTTTGTCCATTAATCTGAACTGGGAGTCGTCGTTGTAGCTTTTGTAATTGAATATCGGTGACCGTCAGTACCACGATCTCTTGCGTTTGAAAACCATTTTGATAACTCTATTTTAATATCTTTATTATTGCATTGATTAGTATTTGGGTTTAGTTTCACAGCGCCTATAATTGCAATAAAACTACACTGTATTAAAGAAAACTTACTTTAGTAATATTACTAAAGTAAAAAAATTCTTACTCAAAAAAACTTGACAAAGCAATAGTGGTTTAAACAATTTTTTTCCCTTCTGTCCTGTCAAATTGAATTGACGAGCAAGCTGATCATCTAGTAAAACTGGCATCGCTCTCATGACAAAATTTCGTAGATCCTCACCACCAATGTCTGATATATGTTTTGCCTAAAAAAATGACATTCAATGAAAAGACATAATCGTCATTCTTAATCATGTAAAGTCAGGTTTAAAACATTTCCTTTAAACAAGTCACCCTCACTCAAACACAGCAACCACCTAATCGAAAAAGTTTAATGTAACATTAAATATATGCAATTTAAGTAAAGTTTAAAAAGGTTTAACAATTTAATATCGTGTAGTAAGTATTGAGACTCAGGAAGCAAAATTATTATGTTTTAAATGATATGATTACTCCACCATCAGATTTCAACCCCCCCCCCCCCACCCCTCATAGCTTTTATAATGATATCATGGCATCCAGTTTTATACCTAAATTATTTTACGCAATTATTCCTTTCTAAACTTGAGTTTAGTATTTGTAAATATTGAGTTGAATTTATAAATAATTTTGAACTTACAAGAATTTTTTTTTCTCTACGCAAAACAACTTTTTTTCTAATGTTTCTACTTCTGCTATAAACGTCAGTGGCAACTTTATATCTTCAGGTAAATCAAATAATAATTCTTCAGTAACTAGCATTTTTTGCTTAATAGAATGCAATAGTGATGTATGCACCTTTAGAGTTTTTTTAATTTCCTCAACATTGCTAACCAAAGTTGCTATTAAATTAAATACTGTTTGCAGGTTAGCAGTTTGACTTAAACTGGAGCCTAAATAAAAAAAGTGATTACAACCTTTAACCACGTAATAACTCAGTTAAAGATTTGTAATTTGTAGGTTTACAGGGATGCCACAGAAAAAATATATCAAAATTCCAAGACATTCCAGGAAAATTCCTGGACAATTTTTAAATTTTTCCTGGATATTTGACAAAAAATTTCCAGGACTGTGGAAACCCTGGGTTTAACAATAAATAACTCAGAGCAAAAAGATAAATTTATTAATAATTTTTAAAAGGTTTGTAAATAGCCCATTCAAGAAATGGCTCATATTAAAAAAAATTATAAATACAGGACAAATACTGATATAAAAAAATTACATTAGAATACAACAATATTTAACAGTTAAATTTTTACTATAGAGAATTACCTGCAGAAGAAGAACTTAACATTGACAGCGATGTTGCCCTTTCAGCAGTTGAAGCAATATGAGGTGAAAATTCTTCACTATTCCATATGTTGAAGTCATTAGAATTTTCATCGCTAATCGAAATAGTAATAAAAGCTAATTACACATATATTTTTTCTAGTTATCAGCATATCACTTTTTTATTTAATTAACATACACTTGATAATTTTTTTCAACACAGGCTAAAAAAACAGTAATCATTTTGACAATTGAATATTTGAGTTTATTTTACAGTGTAACGTGCACGACTCCATGCATGCAGTTTTTCATAACTTTTTTAATGAAAATTATTTAATAAAAAAAACAAATATTTAAAAAATTTTATAAAATATATTATTAAAAATTTTTCCAAACATTATAGTAAACTATATACATAGCAGCCACAAAATTTTAAAAGTTAAATTCCAGGGCATTCTAGGACTTTTTGTTGCATTTTCCAGGACATTTTATATGATATTAAACAAATATTGTCATAACTTTTACCAGTTTAACAATAAGTGTGTCTGATGGTAAATAGTTAGCCTAAAGGGAGGTACTGGTCAAAAGTTTATAATTGGTCAGTGGCAAGTATGTTACTGAAACCAGGTTGGTTCTAACACCAGTTGATTACCCTTTAAAGAAACTGGTAAGTGTTGGTTGGTGTTGATGAAAGGTGTAAGATATAAGACAAAAACAAAGATAAAAAAAGATATAAGGCAAAAATAAAGGTAAAAACAAAATATAAAAAGAATAATAGTTTTGAAGTTACGATTGGGTGTATCAGGGTTTGGTGCTTTAGTACTGTGCCTGCGCCATGTTTCAGAAAATTATCTTAAAGCAAGAATTAAAGAATAAATGAAATATATACAACACATGTGTCCAGAGTGATTTGATGTATGGCGGTCAGACATGTAAGAACAATAAAGCTTGTTGATTTCCATTATTTGGTTAATATCATTTGCAAAATAAAATAATTATTATTTTAAAAAGTTCTATGAACTTTCCATGACTTTCCCAGAAAATTTATAAAATCCTTGACTTTTGCAATTACGTTTCTTTGATCTGTGGCTGCCCTGTATTATGCTAACATTAGAGTTGCTACAAGTTAGAAATAATTTGGCTGTTAACTAAATTGAATAATATATTTTCAAAGTCAACCAAAATTAAATAATACATACTAAATAGCAGATAATTCTATCTTGTTAAAAATTTATTCAAAAACATTAAAATTAATTTTTTTATAGTGTAAAAATATTTAATTTTACTTGAATATTATTTCATTTTTTAATTTTATTTGGTAAAAAAAAACTTTCAAGGGCATTGCAGGACATTTTTGAAAAAAATTTTCCAGAACACTTATAAAATACATTCAGGACATTCCAGGATACTTATAAAAATCCAGGACATTCCAGGACTGTGGCCACCATGTATATATAAATAAATCCTCGTGTACACGCAAATAATGAAACTCACTGTTGCAACTGATCGCCAACTCTGGATTTATTGTTTGATGGGAGCTTGCAGGGTTGCTGTGGCTTTTGAACAAGAGCAGAATTTACCAACATCTTCTATCTTTTAAAATACAAAATAATCTTGAATATGTCCAAAGGTAAAATAAATATAACATAAATTTCTATAAAATTCAAATTAATTTTGTAAAAAAAAATTACTTTGGTTCTACACTATACAATTGATCATTTTCAAATTCCTCATTTTCTGTTTCTCTCTCGTAACTGATCTTTGTCACTCTAAAATAAGCAATATAAAAATGACAAAAATTTAAGACTTCAAAAAAAAAAAACTTAAGCGCTTCTTTAATATATTATTAACTTCAACACATAATTATTTAATGTGTATATAATTATAATATTGTGTGCATTTGTATTGTATTTGTAAGATAATTGTCTACATATTTAAATAAACAAATATTATAATATGATTATATAGATATTATAGTAAAATATAGATACATATTTGACTATAATACATAATATAATATTTACATAATACATATTTGACTACTAGATTTATACTTGATAATATAAATACAGTTATAAATATAAATAGAAGGTTATTAGCTGTGTCTGCCATGGGCCATTTACAAACCATTCTTTATTTAAATATGAAATGGAGTCAAAGTAAATTTGCAACTGGACGCCCTTCTTGGCATTACCCTGCTCTCCAGATCAGGAGAATATGTGTTATGATACTACTAAATTTATTACCATACATGATTTATGAGTTCCTTTCATTTTACCCACAACTAAAGAAGATATTTTTGAATTAGAGTTTGCTTTCTTCAATTTTCTAATTCAACTTCAAGAGCTAGTTTCTCTTGTGCTAACTACTAAAATTCATTATTGTGTTACACGTCATTTAATTAAGTCTCATCATTTCACTGTGACTGTTCCTAAGTGCTCAAAAAATTCTTTTTCCACTAGTTTTTCCCCTCAAACAGTTCTTTGAAATTCGATCCCTTTCTCTTTTTTTCCTGATTCATATAGTTTGCAATCTTTTAAGTCGCCTATTAATCGTTATCTTGCTCTATCCCTAGTCTTTCCACTTCCAGTAACTTCCAACTCGTGGTTGTTGCAGCCTTGTTGGTAGTTAATATGTTTGAAAATAAATAATAATAAAAGACTTATTGAAATTTTAAAATAATAAATTTAATTATTTAAGTAAAATTACGGAGCAAAATTTTTACGAAACAAAAACGTCATTAAATGCCTACTGTCTTCTTTTGTTTTCTTGAAAAGTCTTGGAATTTCTTCTATTCTCTCTTCAAATACATTTTCTAAACTGGATGTGTCTTCTGCCATTTTTTCTTTTTGACGAGCATTGTTCAAGCAGTCTAAAAATTTGTCTCCAAATAAAAACGGGTAAAAAAAAAAGTCACATAAATTTAGAAAATAAATAAAATGCAAAATAAATTTACCAGCTAATCCCAGCACTCTTGCCTTATATATCGGCCAATTTATCTCTGCATCATGGCTGTTATTTTTTGCTTTAGAGACAGTGTTTGGATATTTGAATGGTGGCCAATGGCATTTTACTGATGTACGATTTGTAATCATTAACTGGATACTATTAGCATCCACTCCCTCAAGCCATTTCAACGGAACATAATCTGTTTCGCAAGTGTTTTCAAAAGCAACAATTGCAAACATATTTAAATACTAAATAAATGTTTTATAACTTATGACATAAGAAATGTTTTAAAACTTTTTATTATACTATAATATAGTAACTATGTATTTTTTATTTAATACTAATTTTATAATAATAGTTTTTAAAAGTAAACTTTTTAGTAATAAATACTTTAAAATAAAATTTTTTTTAAAATAATTTAAACTATTTCAAAAAAAAAGAAAAAGCAGATAACTTGAAAATAGAAAAAGAGAAGCACATTATTCACAAAAACAATAAAATAAAATATGCAATTGCAAATGTAATAATAGCAAATAGAACATGATTATTATTAAGTACTATATAAATGTAAAACTGTTTAAATTAATACATAAGACATTTGTAATTGTAAACCAAGATTTCATCAAATATATTAACTTTAGGAAAAGTGCATCTGAGGGATTACAACAAACCCATTTTTATGTGGCAGCAGAAAATATTTAGTTCTTAATTTTCTCAACAAATAAATCTTTACAAGGTTTGAAAGTTTTTCGACATAGAAAATAAACAGTAAAGATGAGTCAAGTGGATCTATAAAAAATGGCTCCTTACAATCAAACTCTACATAAACAACAAAAGCATCAGAGTCATCTGAATCATTTCTGGCAAGAATATTTTTAACTAAACAAACTTTGTTGTCTATTGCAAAGCAGTTGTTTCCATTTTCATTACAAACTAGAAACTGAGAACCAAAATATTGTTTAAATTGTGAGAGGTGACGCAATGGCAATGGAACTGGACCATGGAAATGTTTTTTTTTTAATTTAGAAGTTGAATCAGCAACATTTGTTTCAGAGTATTGTAAGTTACCCTCTGATAATCTACATACAATTTGTGTAACAGGGGACTGTGGACTACGGATTAACTTCTTAAGTCTTCCTAAATAACTTTCAAAAGGAAACGAAGATACGTTGTCTAGCGCTCCAAATCTCCGAACATCATCTGGCAAGTGTATCAGTGAATGGACATTATATACACACTGGTCATTTCCATATAACATGCAAAAATTTGACACAAAATACTTTAACAGTTGTTCTGAATATTTTAAATAGATGTTACATAAAGATGGGCTGATAAGTATTCTAATAGCTACTGACAGACACAGAAAATTAATATACAATTCTTTAGGCAAATTGCCTTTTAAAACAACCACACCAGAATATAAAAGAAATTGCCTAAGTTCAGTAGCCTTCCAATGTTTATATTCAGAGAGTGATCTAGGCTTTCGTGCAAATTCTCGAGGAGTATACAATTTAACTGCAACAAGTCTATCCGATATCAAATCTATTGCTACCCTTGATAACCTATAAACAGACAAGCCGTGTATCCATTGATTTATAAGTCTTTGTCCAACTCCTAAACACACTAGATGCATATAATCTAGAGGAAATCCACTTACCAAGCCGATATTTAAACGTAAAAGAGGAGATATGAACGAGATACTATGATGATCAGGGTCTTTTATATTTCGGAAATCACTGTCAGTTCTCAAAACAGCAAATAGATTAGGCATAACAACTTTTCCGAGCCATTCTCCAGTTTGTACACACCTTTAACAGAAATTATAAGCGTTGTGAGGTTTGATGCATTTTATAAAAGCTTGTGCTGGTGCATCACAAATAACTGCTTTTAATTTGATAGAGTAACATTTGTCATTTTTTCTAAACCCTGTCTTCTCTAGTATAATCATTTCTGAAACAAAATCTTCCATATAATCATCAAGAGAAGTTGGTTTGCTTTTACTAAAATATAGCGCAATTGGAAATGGACACCATCCAGAATTTTTAACCAAGCAAAGTATAGGCCACAAACTATTTGTTGAGCTTTTAAAAATTGGCAAACCGTCTATATTAATATGCAAATCTAATTCATTTATATCATTGTTGAGAGGATACTTTTCAGTAAAAATAAAAAGCCAATACTCTAGGCTAAAATAGAAATATACCCCACCAGCAACATCTTGAATGTTAATACTTCTAGCAGTACTAAGTAACGATCTTGCATCTTTTGGCAAATCAGGATGTAGCTTGTTCAAAAAACCAAGCAAGTTGCTACATGCTGTCTGGGAAATGTTAAATTTTACTACCCAAGATACTAACTTATCCTTTAAAGTTTCACTTTCACTGAGTTCAGTAAAATCATTTTTCTCCCCATCACTGTCATCATCATCACTGTCATAGTTAATTCGAGAAGCACATTCTGGAAAGTCATTATACTTTTCATTATTATATAAATCATCAAGCTAACTATTGAGGTTATCATTAGAACTTGTCACATCAGATATTGGTAAACTAATTAGATCAGTTGAACTTGACATTTTTACCATATTTATTGGCAAATAATCATTATTCACTTAAGAAATATGTGAGGTTGATACATGCAAGTTAGGTGTATTTACACATGCACTACTCAATATTTCTGCAACCACAGTAGCTATCTTTCGGTTTTTTGTACATTTTGAATAAAAATGATGCATTCCAAATAAATAAACTATGAAATTACTACACTTTAGATCTAAATTTCTAAATGAAAAAAATTATAGCTAAATACACAATAGGGTAAATTAAACTTTCAACATTTTGTAATTTTTTTTTTATGGTGCCACTATATGTGAATAATAAATTATGAAAGTTATGGGAAATTTGTTTAATAATTTTTTTTTGTCTTGAGGGATAATACTCATATTGAAAAAGTTAAATTCCTGATTTATAAAGCAAAGGTGGGTCATACTTTTTAAATCATTGAAATCTGAAACTGGGTAAACTGAAAAATATATATTTACTAAATATTAATATGTAGTAAATATTTTTTTGTTTTACAATATATTATGAAATGTAAATGCTTTTAAAAAAAATTATCTTAGCTGGGCTAAAGGTGTTAAATGATTGGCATGTTGTTCAGATTTACTAGTAAATCTGCACAACATGCTAATCATTTAACACCTTTAAATGCTCATAGAATCAAGTATACTTGATTCATCAATAGTATATAAATATTACTTTTAAACTATTTATATATACTATTTTATATATACAAATATTTAAAAACCAACATATATTTGGTTTATATGTATTTATTTTTTGGTATCAACAGTTTCCTGAATACTAAATAAATAGACTAACGTTATCATATTAATTTTATATTGTTATTAAATAATAGTTATCAAAATTAAATTGCATTGATACTTTACAACTTCTATTAAAACAAAGCAATAACTCAAATATAATATATATTTATATATATATTATTATATATTTGATATCAAATATATACTCTAATAATATATATTTGATTCCAAATGTTATTTTATATTTAATATAATATATTTTTTGATACCAAAAATATATTTTTAGCAAAATATTTAACAATGTAAAAGAAAAGAATTAATGAAATCATGAATAACTACATAAGCTTTTATGAACTTCATAAATTTAAACAAAATACAACAAATAAAAAAATACGTTTAGGCGCATTGAGCGCCGAACCATTTTGATTTAAAATTGTTCAAATCTGCCTCGATATCAATTATTCATTTTTTTTCCATACGGGTCCCAGATAGATCCCACAAAAAAAGCCCTTATGAATCCCATACCAGATTACTGGACAAATCCCATACGGTACCCATATATGTTGCAGGCTTCGGCAGGAATGACGGGCTATAGCCCGTGTCCGTCTCCGCACCCGTCTAAGTCAATTTAGACGGGCGAAATAAAGCCCGTCTGAAACATAAGTTTTGTGTAAAAAAAAAAGATGAATATTTTGATGTTTTTTTATTAAGATACTCTTTTAAAACTTCTCTCATGACATAATTTTAATATGGATAGCAAACTCCAACTTATAATTGTTTATATTTAAATATAAAAATTAAACAATTTAATCATTATTGTATAACATGATGTAGAAAATAATATAACTAAATCTTACAGTTTTTTAAACGACGATAACTGTTTGACGTAATACCAAACAGTTACCATATTATGTTCAAAATTTAATAACTATTATATTAAATAGGGAAATATACACATGTGATACACAAGAAGTATCATGTTGTTTTTTTGGTTTTTCAATGTTTATAATAATAACGATAATAAACTAATTATCCATGTATTTCGCTTTTTTCCGATAAACTAGTTTGTCTTACTTTAAAGACATTTAAAGTGATATTTCCGCGTTAACTTCCGCTTTAACTTCACGTTTTTTCTTAAAGAGATGGCAGTTTATTTAATATGCAATTATATAACTCGTTATTGAAAATGAAATATCTCATTAAAAATCAACAAACGTCTAATCAATTTTTGTAGATAATATAAATAGTGTTGCTTTATAGTTATGAAGTTATTCAAGTTATCCAGTCATTCAAGTTTTTCAAGTTATTCAAGTTTTTCAGTAAAGATAGTAATGGCATCATCTGGTAGAAGAGTTACATTAGCAACATTTTTGAGTTGGGGTAAAGATGGAGTCTGTGGAAAAGAAACTGAGGTGGAGAATGGAACAATTTTTGTTGTGAAGATATAGTGTATGGTTTGTATAAAATATAAAAAAGAATTGCTTCGCAAGTTAAAAGGTCTGGCAAAATCAAAAGCATTAGCATTTATAGAGGGCACTACGAACGTTAAAGCTAGCAACATACATACGCTTATATACATGCTTATATTGTATATAAAGTAACGGAAGCCCCGGTATCTTAAGAAATTATTAGTACTTCTAAATAAAAACTTATTTTATTAAAAGAAATTAGATTTCAAATTTTTTATTCACGTATCAGAATAACTATTTCCGATCAGGATAGGCATAGGTAAAGCAAAGTTATAAAAATATAAATAACAGTTTAAGTTTTTAATTTGCACGCCCAATAGAATGCAAGAGTATATAAATAATTGAATTTGAAAAATAACATAGTTACGTATCATATTACCAAGCTAACACCAAACAATTCTAAAACTATCGAGCTCATTGATTCAAGGTTAAAAAAAAAAAAAGATTTCAAACTATTTGCTGAATAATT